CTCTGGTCAAGCCTCGCAGCATGAAGGCCCGGTGCCCCCCTCCCCGCCTCACCACGCCGACACCGGAGTCGTGGAAAGGAGGTTTGTGCATAAAGTTGCTCTATCCGAATTGCTTGCAGCTGTAAAGGGTCGCGCTAGCCGTCTCGGGGCTTCCAAGGCAGTAACCTGGGCAAGCGTTGACAAAAAATATAGTTGCGTCTCGTTATACATCATTGACCGCGTAAAATAGTCCATTGCCCTGAAAGCGTCCTCTCGACCCCAGCCAAAGACACAGAAGTGTTGGAAAAAAACCCAGCCTTCTCAGTCAAAACACCTGGAATAGTCAGAAATACCTCGTTTACTCTAGATAAATTATGGCATAATGAAGCGTCGCTATCATTAACGTAAACAGTTGTTATTAACAATATATCATTTGCTAGCCAGTGATATGCAGAGTTAGGAATTCACCTCGATGACCCCTTCTTTAGGATCGATATTTTATGGATTTAAACTCCACAGCTCTAAAACGCGGAGCAAACTTTAATACACAGAACGGTTCAGCATAAGGACACCTTAGTAAGGAATAACCCAAGGTTTTTGAAAAATTAATGCATTTATCAAATGCATCGATCTGCATTTTAAGAAAAAAAATCAAACTGCTTTGTTTTGTTTTCTTTATTCTTTGAGTACATCTGGGAATGTAAGTAGTGCATCGTATGTGATCTCCAGGGTGGAAATAGCTGTTCTTCCACTGTAACTGAATTCTTAAGCTGTTCAGTTTAAGATAAAAAAAAGCTTGGTGAGCTTGGCAGCAAGAGGAAGAATGGGAGTATCATAAAAAACAGTGCTGAGTTGTACCATGAGCAACAGCACTTAGTGTCATAGCAGGTTATTTGTTCTCTGGCTTATCTCCTGATGCTCTGGTGCAGGTCTTCCTTGTAAACCCTTGTTGACTTAACAGAGCCCAATGAAGGCTGCAGGGTGATCCTTCAATTAATGGCCACGGCACTGCTTCTATCAGTCACCTCTAAGTGAATTCTGTCACATAATACACGAGCTATTGTGCCTGAGGAAAGCAGTTGCCACCAATTTATGCTGTACACACAGTATCTGATGTTTAAATAGTCCCATTAACACTTGGGCACTAGGCTTCTTGATGTGATGGCTCACACCAAAAAAAAAAGCTATAATGGTGACAAAGGAAGCTGTGATATGAGACTGAGATTTTGGGATACTCTTGAATGTGTTACTTGAAGGACAGACCTAGTGTGTACCTAGTTAACAGCAAATAGCCTTCAGCCTCACATGAATATGAAATGAACAGCCTTTATGTCTGCCACCAGTAAAGGGGACAGGGATGGGGCTGAGGGTCCTCCCTCTCTGTGAATTTTACCAGAAATACTTCTGAGGATGTTATCTGCAGATGGGAACGTGGTGGGGACGCAGCAGCAGGGAGGGAGGAGGATATGACACAGTCGCTTGTCACCACGTCCCGGGGGTGTCAGCAGTGTGGGGTGGTCTCAGTGGTGACTTCCCCTGTCCCCTTGCAGGTGGGAAAGCCACGACCAGTAAAAGTGAGCTGCTTGTTTCAGTTACCAAAAGGAGGTTATTTTTCCCTACGGAATCACTGCAAGTTTTTCTATTTGAATCATCAGATAGGGAAGTCTTTCATTCAAGCTGAGGGACTAAAGCTTTCTCAGCACCCATTGCTGTCTACTGCAAGAGTTGTCTTCTGCTCCTTTGGACAGTTGAGAGGGAGAGGGCAAATATGGTCGTGTCGACACAGTACGTGTATCATCTTCCTCCTCCTCAACAGGATTTGGTACCATTTTTATTGGGTTTCTTGGTTTTATTCCCTAATCCTAGTAGAAAACTCCCGAGTGGACAAAAAAAATGCAGGAAAAATATAGTTTCTGCTTCTACTAGTGAATGCCACTCGAGGTGTTAATGAAGATAAAAAGTTATGAAAAGTGTTTCAATAAGGTAAAGATATGTAGAAAGATAGTAAATGAAAGCTATAATTCTCCCCTTTTCCTCTCTGTATCCTGATCTCAAGCAGAAGCATTACCTCCCATTACTTACCTTTCCAGAAAATGCCAAAGTGAGCAGCAGAGTAAAGAGTTAGGCAACACCCTCTGTTGTGTGGGGGGCTGATTGTTTCCGCTGCTGCTGCTGCTGCACGCTTTGTATTCTTCCGGCTCCAAAATTCATGGCAGGCTAAGATGTGGAAAACAACTCCCAGAGAAGTCTCAACAGCAAATGAATGCAAACTACTACACACAAATAATTGGAGCATTAAAACCCTGGGTTAATATAAAGCCTTTCTGTAATGCTCTGATCCATAGACCTTCTGTGACGCGTTTGCTACCCTGTTGGGTAGCAAACATAATAGCTAGCATATAAGCTTTGTAAAATTTAAAGAAAACATAAGCTACTGTTGCAGCTTACATAGATTTCTCATGTAAGCAGGCCATAATAATATGTAGCATTTTCTTAGGCTTGCAGCTGAGATTAGTTTGGAATACTGTTTGTGATGCACAGAGCGATGCCGGATACATCTCCTTGCTACTAAACTCTGCTCTTTGCTATTAAACTCTTCTAGAGAAGAGTCTGGCATCTAAAGTGCTCTGTCATCCTTTCATATGAATTGGCAAAGAGAATGACTTTGGCACCAGTGCTGTGAGCATTAACAAATCTAGATTGTTTTTTTCGTCGGTCTAGGGCAGGGCTAGCTTGGGCACTTTACAGCTTTCCTGGTTCTGCTTCTATCAAAAGTGAGATCACCACTGAAACTGATGCCCATCCCCAAGCCTGGGGAGGTCATAAAACTCAGAAAAATTTTTACGAGTATAGAAGGGCTGATTGGTTTAAGTAAAGCATACAGAGGTTAGCCTTCTGTCACGGGTTTTCCTTTCTGAGAGTGAAAGCTGTCCAAAGGTGAAGCTTCCCTCTGCACCATGCTCCCATGCAGTTGGTTGTGTGTTTAGGTCTATAACGAAGTTCCATCTGTGCTGGCCTCCTCCTCCTCCTCCTCCTCCCCATATGGCAAATCCACTCATTGCCGTGACTACAGAAAGCTAAATCAGATGGTTTCATTCTCATTTTGGTACCTTGTTCCTTGAAGGAATTCAGTAACTGGAAAGCAGCACTGAATCAACATCTCCAACAGCTCTATCTCCTGTCAGATAAGTATCATGGAATCACAGAATGGTTTGGGTTGGAAGGGACCTTCAAGATCATCCAGTTCCAACCCCCTGCCCTGGGCAGGGACACCTCCCACCAGACCAGGTTGCTCCAAGCCCCATCCAGCCTGGCCTTGAACCCCTCCAGGGATGGGGCAGCCACAGCTTCTCTGGGCAACCTCCTCCAGTGCCTCACCACCCTCACAGCAAAGAATTTCTTCCTGGTATCTCATCTCAATCTCCCCTCTTCCAATTTAAAACCGTTCCCCCTTGTCCTGTCACTACACTCCCTGACCAAGAGTCCCTCCCCAGCTCTCCTGGAGCTCCCTTCAGATATTGGAAGGCTGCTCTGAGGTCTCCCCGGAGCCTTCTCTTCTCCAGGCTGAACACCCCCAGCTCTCTCAGCCTGTCTTCATAGCAGAGGTGCTCCATCCTTCTCATCATCTTCATGGCCCTCCACTGGACCTGTTCCAACCCCCTTCATGCTATTCCCTTTCTGTCTGCCTTGGCCTAACTCTCCAGAAAGCGTAGGAAGCAATTTTGAGGATATGCGATCAATGAACTTGGACTTAATGCATATGGACAAATTTTGCTTTTGGAACTGAACAAGCAGCAGAATGTGACCTTAATGAAAGTATGATTGTAGAAAAGATCTACAGAGAGCTCGCAGGCAGGGTTCACCATCCGTTAAGCTGATGTTCAAATACAGATCTTGGAAAGGGAGAACACTCGTGGAATTTCATTTAAACACCGCCTGTTACCTTCCTCTAATGCTTTGTTATGACATGGTGGAGTGTGCTGAAATGGAAATCAGGCAGGAATAGCTTTTAGTTCCTAAACTAGTAGCTGAAATATTGATTGGGGAGGGGGAAGAAAAAAGGAATTGAAGCACCCTATCCTGACTGGTGAAAGGATTTAATATAAATACACTTAAGTTTCACAGATAGCTAGACACAGAGGCTCAATTGCAGAGCTAGCAGAAAGGGGATTAACTGAGAAAACTGAGAACATAAGCACTCCTGGACCATCCAGGAGAAGTTCTAAATCTAGCTGATAGTTGTAAGGAACATTTAACTTAACTTGAAACTGTTTCAGTGTCTGTTCATGATCTTAAACCTCCGCCGTTTGTGTGATTACTGCTGGTGAGAGCAGTGTTTTGTTTAATATGCAGGGTGTGTCTGGAAAAATACAGGAGATAGATAGAGGCATCTTTGTGCCTACTACTACTGATGCTGCCATAAAGACTGAAATCAAACCCATCTGGAAAACAGATATCGAAACATCAAGTTTTCCTGAATTATCTTTGTCATATTCTGCAGTGAAATGTCGGTATCAAAATTAAATAGGTTAAGCTTCCTCCGGTAACAAATTGGGATGAAATGTTGTTATTTCACTGGGTAAGGATTTGGGTCAGTCAGTTACTATTACAGAGTGATTAGAATGCTCAAGAGGCTTTGAAACAAATGTAACTAATGAATTAACCTCATTCAGAGAGTGTGAAATCTGTTCTAGGAGAAACGCCAACTAGTTGGAACAATACTAATTATGGAGTAGCAACAACAAGTGGCTGTCGAATCTGTAGATCATTCCTCAGTGTTCGTGTCATAACTGGGAAAATGCTGTTCCCTACCAAATCTGCTTGTAAAAAGGTGGGAAGGCAAAAGCAACCTGCTTTTCTGAAGGTGGGAGCACAGATCAAATCCCTTGCAAAGTCAAATTATCCTACTTGAAGTCTTTTACTCAGAAGTGAACTGCATACTAGCATTCTGCTGCAGGTCGTTTACAGTGTGTACAGATTTACAGACCTATTATCTTCATTAAACCGAGGACGTTGTTTATACCTGGAGTTGTGCTGTAGCTTTGCTTAGGCTGATAATTGGCCGTGTTCTAGGTTTAAAACAGGGACTTAACATGTTTACA